TTTGAAGCGTAGCAATCTCTTGCTGAATTTTTTTTTATTTGCAAACATCAATGTTTTCACATTTTAATTTAAAGAGTGAATTAAATAACTAAATGCACATTCTTCAAAAAAGAGGTATGTTCATAAAGTAAGTTGACAAGTTCTGTGAAAATGATAAATACATATTAAAATAATTCTGAGATAATTTTCCTCCGTGGATAAACGGAATACACAAAGTAACATGGAATTTATCACATTTAAACTTTTACAAGAAGGAAGCCTATCTGTACACTTGTATCACTGAATGTCAACGTCACCATATTATATAGAGACATTATATAAACAATGCTATTCTACAGTTATGAAAAAATAGAAATCGGAGATTGCAGCCTAAAATAGAAGCTAAATCACATAAAGTACCGGTAATAAAATCATTATCAGGCAATATCTAAATGAGGACACATTTCCATTCAATCTTTTTTTTTTTCAAGCCCCCCCCCCCCCCCCCCCCAAAAAAAAATTCAATAACCAGTCCTTTGAGAATCTACATTTCCTTGAAAAAAAAATTACAGCAGGAAAAAAACAGGTACAATGCCTGTATATTAACTCCTTAAAAGATTTTTTTAAATACTGCTACTAACTACATCATATAAATAACTTTGTACCATGCAAATATTGAAGCAATACTGGGTGTTCAGAAACATTGAACAAAGTCACGTTTTTGGCTGCATAATGCCCTTCATACAAAAAAAAAGTCAACAATATCATAGAAAACAAGATTGACCAGTTTCTTAATGCTGCCTGACCTCAAGCCAGGAGAGGAAACTCTAGGATAACTCTAGTTTACAAATACATGTGTAATACTAAATATTGATATAAACATGTGACTAGTTATTGAGAGAACCAATGTCCTGTTATCAATACAAACTTTGCCCATAAAATATTTCTGTATACAGTACTAATGTGTTTTTGTGGTTCAGGAACAAAATAATACAGACAATCACAATTCCAGGAAACCCAAAATAAAAGGCTTTTTCAGATCTCAGAAAAATGATTTTTCCAATTTCAGTTTGTTGCTATGGAGATATCTTTCATTGTGTATAGGTGAACTTTAGTGCTGTGTACCAATATGGTATAGATCTACTGTCTCAACAGCAAGAAGAATGATTCAATTTTGTCCTCTTGAATATCAAGATATTTGCTGTTTTTATTCTACTAATTTTGAGATAAAACAATTTTAAAAAGTCCCTGAACCTATTTACATGTCTTCCATTATACATGTTTATCTAAAACATTTAAAACACATACTGGTACATGTATAACATGAATTTATCTTAACCTTTCTAAAAAAATCTCCCAAAAATTTATGGTAACCTACGCAGCACCTAAAGAAAGACAACCTGATATTGTGAATTGTATTTAGAACATGACGCTAATTTTGCTACGTTTTCTGCCATGGTTTTTTGTCCACTCCTTTGCTGGAGGATAAGTGTTTATTGCGACATTTGTCCCCGAAGGAACATCCAGTGGTTCTCCAGAAATAACATTCGTCCCCGTTCACGGGCCCTGTGGTGTTCTTCTGGTCCAATGCTGTACTGTTCACTGCTGTAGAATTCTGATATTGGGCAGCTACCGCTTTTCTGAAAATAGAAAGAGAACACTCTCTATACAGGGCTAGACAAATAGCATGGCCCAATGCCCAGGACAACCTATTTTGATTGGTGGACAAATTATTTGATAAGTGATACCTGTTCGTAGACAAGTACATTTAGCAATTAACAAAAATTATACACTCAAGTGTTCTTTGTTTTAGCATGGATGAAATATAATGAATTGCAGCAGAGATTTTTTAAGATTTTTATTTTGGCAGGGCAAGTAATTTTATGACGGTAACCAGTCCCATGGCAAGTACTGAAAAATTCTATTTGTATACACTGAGGTACTTTTTTGTCCAATTTACTCATTTAACAGATACCTTTTACCAAAATTACTGACAAAAGAGAATAATTTAGCAATCTATTTGAAATCCTATAAATCAACTGTTTACTTTTTTGTTGGAAACACCTCAAAACAATTCTGAAGTCAACTGAAACATTTCTGGTACTAGTATATGCTCTTGATTAAAAAAAATACATGTGTAATTTCTTTTCTCTTTTTTTTTTTTGCAACTGTTGAGCAAAAAGTGCAAGGTGAAAATTGCAAGGTTTATGTTAAAATAATGCTACAATGACGATTTATATCATAAAGGTATACTTCCTCGTGCTTTATTTTATACTTGTATGTCACATGAATATTCCTATATTGCTTAAAAAATGAATCAATATTACACAGAGAGTTAACTTTCAGAATTTTAAATCTGAAAATTTATTTCAGGCACACTGATTGAAAGTTATTTTTGATTAAAGATCAAAATGACGAAATGAAATCTTCAATTTTACAAACAATGACAAAGATAACACTTTTAGAAGTCAAGAAAATTATTTACCACCAACAGAAGTTGTGAATGGAGAGGCAAATGTACATTACTCAATTAAGGGTGTTAAGAAAGTTCGTTCCATGATAAAACATTTTCAAAAATTTCAAAATAGTGCTTAACTAAAGAGATTAATTTTCAAAATCTGACAAAATCACAAGAGTGTGCTTTAGATTTAAAGCAATTCATTTCTAGCAGGAAATTTAAGAATTGTCCATCCATATGAAAATATATATACCATCTTTAAAGCACCCGAATGATAGAAATGCTGGTCATTTTGAGTAAAAATAAAGGCTAATTTACTTTTGTTTCTTCGTAGCTTATCTTGCATCAGACAAACTGATGAGCATATGTACTAGTATAACAACGATAGATCACTTTTAAACAGAATAGATTTGTCATGTTGAAAATTTTTCACCGACTTGATAATTTTTGCATATTATTTGAAAGGATGTTTGACCTGTGTGCTAATTTATGTCAGAAATGTACGCGTCATCCCTGACTTTTTTTTCCTAACAGACATCATCTGTTTTAATACCTGCCCTCCCCTTATTGATTCAACAAAAGACAGTTAAAACCTTATCAGTAGCAAGAATGGACTCTGTAAACATGAAATATCACAAATTGTAAATATCTTCTCATCGTATTTCTTTTCGAAAATAAAATAAAAAATGTGGAACGAACTTTCTTAACACCCTTTAGAATAAGAAGTTATACACTGATAGTAGAGAAATAAACTGTAGCAGGTCAAGTAGTCTCAAGAGTTATCTCCCTGTCTTGGGCTTGTTCTGACTCGCCTCATAATGCACTTTGAAAAAAATAAAATTTCTTTTCATGTATCGACCATATTAACGCACTTTGATAAAATGCGTATGGCTTTGCCAATATTCTTGCAAATCTTAAGCATGATAAATAATTGAACTTGTTTCATAACTCTTTGGTGATGAGCTAGGTCACTTCATGATGTGAACGTGAACAATTTTGATTTTTCCATACTTTGAAAATTCTTTCTCTCTTAAATGTGTTACTGTACTTATTTTTTTTACAAGTTTGCATGATTTTATGTAAACTACAATTTGAAAGTTCTCAACGTCATACGTCATACCAGTTATGTAAATACAAATATTTGGGTGTAGCATAGGCATCGGTACTGAGAAAGGGCGTTAGGCACACAAAATTTTCGAAAAGATGCATAATGTATGAATTGAAAATTTTGGCTTACATTGGAGGGGGGGAGGGTGTTCCACTTTTAATTTGCCACCGTCGGATATGCACAATGTATAAGAAAAAAAGGGTTGGGCTGAGAGACCTTCTTCTCGTCTTCTCCTTGTTTTCAGTAAGGTTAAACGAGTACATGTAAGTTAAACAGATTTTCAAAAGATATTATTATTACAAATTGATTCTCTCAATTAATAAAATCTAAGTCAAGAATTTCTTGTTTTATACATATATGAAAAAAAATTTCAAAGTGCGTGGAGTGTGTCCCAAATTTAACGCACTTTGAAAAAAACTAATTCAAAGTGCGTTGATTTTGTCTCAATTTTGAAAAAAAAAATATAAGTGCGTTGAGGGGTTTATCAGCAACATGGTCTTCTTTTACCAATGCTACTTTCTTACCTTCCATTGACTCAATGATTAAGATGATTAAAACAGGGTAAAATCTGCTGATGGACAACAGAAGAGCCATTTTCACTTTGGTGAGCATTGTGGCTCATGGGCCTCCTGTTTCTTAGCAATAGGATACATAGGAATATACCATAAGAGAAAGAAATCTGTTGTTAAAGAACAGCAGGGTCATATTGACTAAGGTGAATATTGTGGCTTATGGGCCTCTTGTATTTTTAAAATGACTTGCACCATGAAAGCTTTCCCTCTCATTGTTTCTGAGGGTCTTATTTGAAAAACACAGTTTGGTGGCATTATGTGCAAAGAACTTTAGATCGGGACCAAAACCCCTTTTGCCTTCAAAGATCCATGCCCCAAAACTAAAACATGAAATGCTAGATATGTTTTTTAAGTCTGATTTAGTGACACATGAATAAACCTAGGTTAAAGCTACCTATTTATATTATCTAATGTTTCTTGTTCTTGTTGGCTGTGCATATCATGTAATATGATCTCTCAGTTTAAAGTCCAAATCACTTCACAAAGCATAGCTATCTTACCTGTGCCTTAAATCTAGGTCATATGTAGAAGACATTCAACAAACATGGCAGCCAGTAAACCTCAATTTCCACTAGGCTCTCCCCAAGAGCATATTGAAATGTGTCATACCCATGATTTACCTATTGATATGTTATGTGAGGACTGTGATGAATTTATTTGTCGTAAATGTGCCAAAACAGATGATAGAGATCAGGAATGGAATACTCTACCAACGGCAGCTACCGAAAGGAGGAGAGGCTTGCTAAGATTTTTGATGAAGATCAAGGAAGAGGACCTTCCCAGTATTTATGAGAAAATAGAGTAGGTGTCAAAACAGATCACAGAAAATAAAGAAACTTGTGACTCTGAGATTACAAAGCTTCAGAAACATGTCGATGAAATAATGGCCAGATTGACAGAAATCAGGAAAAATAATGAACAAAGATTGAGAGATAATTTGAAGGAAAGAAATAAAAAGTTGAATAGTGTGAAATCTGAGTTAGACAATAAGAAGAAAGATATTGAAGAGACGTTAAAGTTTATGGAGAATAACAAGAGTACCATGTCAGATTATGGCTTCATTGACAACCACAAGGAACTTTCAAAACTGCTGTCTGGGGTGAATCTAGATTTTGATATGAAAAGCTGTGAACATTCAATGAGATACAGTAAAGGAGATATCAGTGATGAAGTACTTGAGAATATGATTGGAAAAACTCTAGATTTAGACGAAACCAGTCTGACTGAAACAAGTTCATTCAAATATGGTGATAAAGTAATACAGTGGACCCTCACTTATCCGGACGCTTTGGTTCCCAGTCAATTTGTCCGGATATGTGAAGCATCCGGATATCTGAATCACCAGTTGAACAAGACAGAATAACATTTATAAATTTCGTTCCGATAAAAAATCGTCCGGATACTGAAGCATCCGGATATCTGGCGTCCGGATATCTTAAGGTCCACTGTAGCTGTGTTGAAGGCATTGTGTGAAGATCAGTGTTACATAAAACAATTAGCGTCAGATAACATTGAACAAATAAACAAAGAAGGTGAAATAAAACATAGATATAATATTGCTGCTTATGACATGTGTGTGATTGATACTGGTGATGTTTATTTTACTAACTACAGTAACAAATCCATCAGCTGTATGTCACCATCAGGATCTGTCTCTACAGTCATCAGTATGGATCCACTGGCACTAGTGGGAATCTGTCAGTCTGTGGACGGTGGACTACTGGTTACCTTGAGAGACGAGGAATCAGAACGCTACAAATCAGAGTCACACAGTAGACGTCTGGTGAGACACATCACGATGACAGGTGATGTCATCCATGAGTATGAGTACCAGGAGGACGGTCAGACCAGACTGTTTACAAATCCATTCAGAGTCACACAGAACAGTAACAGTGATATCTGTGTTGTGAATAGTACAAGTACAAGTACAGGTGAACTAGTGATTATGTCTCCCTCTGGTCGTATGAAGTCTGTGTACCGTGGACAGAACCTGACAAAGAACTTTACTCCAAATGATGTAGTGAGTGATTCCCTCTGTAACATCCTTGTTACTGATCTATTGAACAAACAGATCCATCTACTGAGTCCTGATGGGGAGTTCCTGAACTTCTTACTGACAGACAATGAAGTGTACCATCCATCTGCGGAGTTCCTGAAGTTCTTACTGACAGAGAATGAAGTGAACGGTCCGATCAGATTATCCCTATACAAGTCTACACTGTGGGTCGGATATTATGAAGGAGTTGCTAAAGTGTTTCAGTACAGAATGCAATATACTTGAACGTTGATTAATTTTACTCATACAAGTATTTCAAAGAATTCTGCTTCTGACATTTCATTTTCTTAATTCCTAGTCAAACTATAAGTTAATATTCTTAATTCAATTTCAATGGACAAAAACATATGTACATCCAAAAATGCAAAATTTATGCAATTTTGATTTGATACAGTAACTTTGGAATAGATCAATATAAAAACTTCAAACTAGTTCTTCATCATGAAAATGTAATTAAAATCCAGCATCTGAAGCAAGTTTGGAGTTTTCATCCCTTGATGCATCATTTGTGCGAGTATGATTTAAATAAGCCTTATAGTTTCTTTGTAATAGACCTGCACTAATAACCTTTTCGAGGTCCATTATCTGGAAAATGTATATCGAATTCGAAGCAATTCGAAGCATCCTAAGATGTATCATCCATGCATGTTTGCTCAACATAGAGCTCAAAGTTACTTGGAAATGAAACCTGTATGAAAAAACTTACCTTTTCAGTAATCCGGAAAATGTAGGTCAGATTCAGCATCCGAAGCCAGCCTAGTAGAATGCACCCTTAGATGTACCATCCATGCAAGTTTGGTCATTATAGGGCTAAAAGTTACTTGGAAATGAAACCTGTATGAAAAAACTTACCTTTTCAGTAATCCGGAAAATGTAGGTCAGATTCAGCATCCGAAGCCAGCCTAGTAGAATGCACCCTTAGATGTACCATCCATGCAAGTTTGGTCATTATAGGGCTAAAAGTTACTTGGAAATGAATCCTGCACCAAAGACTTGAACCGTTCACTCGTCCAGAAAATGTAGGTCAGATTCAGAATCCGAAGCAAGTCTGGTAGTATGCATCCTAGGATGTACCAGCCATGCAAGTTTGGTCATTATAGGGCTAAAAGTTACTTGGAAATGAAACCTGCACCAAAAATTTAAAGACCGCGAAACATTAACTGGCAAAATTGGCAATAAACAGCTTATGTCATTTCTATCTGTTACAATCAAAACATTCAGTGATAGACAATGAAATGGGTGGGTACAATTCGACGCGGACGTGGGAAAAACATCGGATTGAAATTGCAGATCGAAATTCATTTTCAATATACCTGAAATGTTTTCAAAGCTAAGAGTGAATATGTGATCCAAAAATCAACTTATTTCAACTACCGAATACATATTGATTGCAGTTCACGAGTTAATACGAGTTTTAGCTTATAATTTAAACGACACAAAAGACCATAGAAGACAAAGAGTATTTTTCAGGAGATATTTGATTCACTCGTCCAGAAAATGTAGGTCAGATTTAACATCCGAAGCAAGTCTGGTAGTATTCATCCTTAGATGTATCATCTATGCAAGTTTGGTCAATATAGTGCTTATAGTTACTTGAAAATGAGACCTGCACAAAAAACATAAACCTGTTCATTCATGCAGAAAATGTAGGTCAGATTCAGCATCCGAAGCAACCTGGTAGCGTGCATCCAAAGATGTTCCATCCATGCAAGTTTGGGCAACATAGGGCTTAAAGTTACTCGGAAATGAGACCTACACGAAAAACTGCTCCAAAAATGTTAACCTGCTCCAAAAACATTAACCTGGTCATTCCTTTGCTGAAATTGCAGCACCTGAAACTTTGGATGAGACAATGAAACACACTAGAATCATCTTCCATGCATGTCTAAGCAATATAGGACATCGAAGTAATTAAAAAGAAAACTGCTCCAAAAAACTTAACCTTAACCTGGGACGCCAACACCGACGCCGAGGGTATTACATAGCTGATAAGCCCCCCCCCCCCCCCAACTTCGTTGAGGTGAGCTAAAAAGAAAGAAAGAAAAACCATGTTGCAAGCATAAAAAACATTGATAAAATTAAGAGCAGGGTATCGTTTCACAAAAACATCGTAAATTACGTACTACTTAGCGAGTTACGACGAACTTAGGTAGTACCTACGTACTACGTTACGACCGTTTCACGAAATGTACTTAGAACTGTCGTAAATAATCGCACCTTCCATATATATACTACTTAATTTTACCGGAAGTCAAAAATTTGGCAGACGAAACGATTTCTAAAATTAAGAAAGAGAAGAAGAAGAATTTTACTGCAAGGGAAGTAGAACCGGGCCCTGGTGGAGGAGGTGGAGAAACAATACCCAGGTTCATTCTGCATTGTTCATGCTGTTACCAAAATCTAGTGTTGGCAAATCGGACGATTTTTAGTAACCGGTTACTCGCTCAATCTTCCGATCGAGTACCCGGTTACTCGGATGATTTATTCATATTCATATACAGTTGTATATCATTATCTCATCCTTTACTCATCGGTAGCAATAAAACACAAATATATTGTGATTGCTTAAAGATACCCATGCACGCACAATCTTGAAAGAATTTTAAAACGTGCATTTATAATTAAAAATTAATTAAATCAGAAGAAAAAATATTCAGTGTTTCACGTTATTTTTCAATGGTGTTCATCACCTTTTACTTTTCGACTCCCGATATAATTATATCATGATCGAGGAGAATGATTATTTAGAAATTTGAAGTAACAACCGTACACGATAACTCCAATTCACGTAAATGACATTTCATAGGTATCGAATCAGCTGTTCTTTTAAATACTTCGAAGGTTTATGTCTTTGGCGGCATCCTGTTAAATTTTTAATAACTCTTTCTTCAAAACTTGTATAACCTGCTGGCAATCAAAGCTATCAATTAATTGTGAAAACTAATCAAAACGAATCGATCGTATTAGTGAAACTCTAGATAATTAAATCTAACGGTAAGTAAAATTAGAGAAATGCTTTTGTTTACGCTTATCAACAAATTAACATTTTTTTTTTGTTATTTACTTTATAAAATGTATTTTTATCCGAGTAACCGAATAGCATTTTTACTAACCGATACTCGCATCGTTCGACGGTTAACCGGTTAACCGGGTACTCGTTGCCAACACTACCAAAATCAAAACTATAACTCTGAACTGTAGTCTATTAATTTACAATGTTTGTTTAATAATTCAATTTGATAAATAGATAACTGAAAATGACAAAATAAAGATAATCGTGCTCAGAAATATTCATTTATTATGAAAGAAGACAGTTGGGTACCAACACAATGTTTTCACAATAAAAAAGACTACACAAATTGACCAATTACCCATACAGTCTCAATGCAGAGCGTCATAAATACCTCTCAAACAGCGTAAAAACATTTGTTTAACTTAAGGCTAAATTAACGACCTTTGTATAAAAAATTTGTTTAAAGAAATGTGTTTTCTTTTACATAAATTTGATCCTTTTTTTTTCGACTAACCGATATCAGATTTTCTAATCAATTGCCATCGTTCTGACCAATTAACTGATTAAAAATATCATCTCTAATTAATATAATTTGGAAATGTCTGTAAATATATAAAATTTGAGAAAGAAGTGACCTTTCAAAATTACAGAAAAGTAAAATTCAATGGGAAAAAAATGTGATCTACAGATATTGATTCTTTTGATTCTGACTAATTTCAATCAATAATTATCTATAAAAAAACTACTTACAATATACTCTTTATGGAACAACATTATTTGTGACTGTTTGATTCAATGATTTCTAACTGAGTTTTACCGTTTACACAAAACAGTTGCATTAGAACTTACCTTTGTCTGTTCTTTCTGTTTTTCTAACTTCTTTTTCTCTCTCTTCCTCTGGAATTTACAGAGATAAAAAGTACAGAAAACAATCTAAAAAAATTAATGTACAAGTAATATAAGTTTTATCTCTATTCCATTCATAAAATCCTAGTTACAACTAGAAAAAAGTTCGACATATGAATGCCAAATAATTAAAATTCTAATCATCTTGATAAGGGTTGCCAAATCACAACTTAACAATGGCATCTCAAATCACAGATTTTGAAATATTCATGCGAGTCACCTTTTTTCTTTGATTTCTTTTCTCTTACCTACTTTTTTCTCCTCCTCAGATCTTAATTCTTCGTCATTTCTATTTATTTCTTGAATGAATTTTTTATCTTCATTAAAAGAAAGACAAGAGAGCAATTAATTCAAGCAAAAAATGTTCTTATATGGTTTTTCATTAAAAAAATATATATTAGAATGCTCTCAGGGCTAGTGAATCTTTGATAGGGCCAACAACTTGAACTGTTAGTCAGCGCTCACATGTATTTTCATCAATGATTAGTCTCTTCACCTTCTAATAATAAGAGTTAAAGCGAAGTAGTTTATAAATACTTTTGGTCTCTTTTTGGGTGTGGAGGGCCTTTTTCACTTACCTTGATGATTGTAAAACTTTCTCCCACCATTTGGTTGAAGTAGCGAGTACCAGCAAGGGAACACATACATTTATAGCGAACATGCTAACTGTAAACTTTTACTTAAGTGACCATGACCTTTGTAATAAATTGTTGATTGTAACAAGGAAGCACAGATTCCAATCTTTAAGTTAAACTTTATGATCCAGACACTGTCACTTTTCTTTACTGTCAGTGACTCTGAAGTTGTCCAACATATAAATACTTGTACATCAGCATTTCCAGTATTATTGTACAGATACTTAGCGTAGCCAAAGGCGCTTGGTTACAGGATGGTGTATTTTGTGCATTATGTGTTTTTCTATGTGTGCCTAAATACCCTCATCAAGGTAAAAATAAAAATTCGCCGAAATTAGCACGTTTTAAAAAATGTCATATTTACTGTATATAAAAAGAGTACTATTTTTATATGTACAGTAAATATGACATTTTTTAAAACGTGCTAATTTCGGCGAATTTTTATTTTTACCTTAATGACGGTATTTAGGCACACATAGAAAAACACATAATACACAAAATACACCATCCTGTAACCAAGCGCCTATGAGTGTAGCTTCAGAAACGTAGCTCTATACTTTACAAAATTCGGATATATATCACCGAGCAAAAATTAACATTTTTGAATTAATGTAACTTTTTATTAATTTATACTAAATTCGGACGTTTATCTGTGAAATTCTTTATCTGTT